TATATATATATATATATATATATATATATAATCACCCTGAGTTAAAAGCAACCATTTGCATTATTTATGGATGGAATTATATTTTGTTATTAAACCTTAACATCTTCCTTCTTTATATTACTTCAATCATTCAATTGTTGAGTTAATTGAATAAAGATCACTTGACACCTTATATATCCGGTAATTGTTTGAGACTTCCGTTGCTTTACTAAAAGTAGTGTTTTAAAAAGTAATGCGTGTCAATGCATGGAGACCAAGTTTCAGACAAGACGAAGCTTAGGTGAGGCCTAAATGTGAAAAAAGGTTTTCGTATTTTAATATTATTTAAAATTTTTAATCAATATAATTTTTTTTTTAATAATTAAAATGATACCTACCAAATATCTAAAATAAATTTATAGGAATTTATATATTTTTTCGAAGTTTTCAACAAAAAAATAAGTTTCAAAGTCATAAAGACAAAATGTAGATATCATAGGAGCTTGAATTTTATCTAACTAGTTATCGAATTCCAATTTAATATCCTCTTCTTCATCTAATTCTTCCTCCATGTCGTCCGATACAAAATCAATTTTTTAAGAATTGTTAAAAAATAATAATTTATATGTAATAATGTGTGCTTAGACGCGCATAGGCATGCCTTAAACAGTTAATACTGTCGTTGATCGCTAATTTAGCTCCTAGGCCCTTTTGCCACGCCTCACACGTTGGCGACGGCTATGTGCCATTTTAAACTCTGACTAAAAGTGTGCTTGGAAAGATTTTCCAAAATCCTAAGAGCACTTCTTGGAGTGTAAAAACTATTTTATTTAAGTGGAGTTATTGACGGTTTGGCTAAAATAAAAAGAAAAAGAAAACATAAAAAGTTGTTTTCGATACTAAAAGCTATACTCACAATACCTGTGCCGAATGAATCCTATTACACCTTATTTATATGAATGCTATCCTACATATCTATCTCTCGTAATCTTATCATTCCTAATTAATATGGTGTAATAAAACGCACCTTAAAACTACATAGTTGCCTAATAATCTATTTTGCATGGTCATCAAACATCATGCATATTCATTTCGGTGAAACGTGAGAGAATCCAGTTCCATTATTTTATTTAATCAAGAATCTTTCGGTGTTGATAACAAGAGAATTTAGGAAATTGAAGAAAGTTTCTTTATATCTAATCCCAAAAGAAGAATGGAATAGTTCTAAAGAGCCCTAATAATTTACCTCATTCAAAAAGCCTAAAGTGGTTAAAGAAACCAAAAAAAAGATGACATATTCTCTAGAATTAACTGTATTCCATTTTGATCACATATTCAAAGTATTAACTGTTCAATAAAAACCATCCATGTACTTGTAAAATTTGCGATGTAAAATAGGATTCGAGGAGGAATATGTACTCAAAACTTTGAAATATTTTTTCAAGATTCAAGTTCCAACCACTCAATAAAATTTAAAAAACACAGAACATATATTCCAATGCCAGTATGCATGTATACATATATATACTTGACTCTTAGATACACCATAGAGTTGTCAAGTCTTAGAATAATACACCTCAAATGGGAAAAAAGGATTACAAAAGAAACACCTAAAAAGAAAAAATGCAAAAACGCCACTCCATCTCTTTCTCATTATGGTGGAAACCCACACGCTTTATTGAAATATTACTAGAGCAATGCTACAATGACAAAGGAAATTTACAAAGTTAGGTTACAAAATCAAATTTACACCAATCATTTCAAAAATAAATTTTTAAATTATTTGAAATTAAAGGTCAAGATTTTGCCAACACACTTTGGCACTCCACTTTTGTATACCAACTTTGTAGGAGTAGAATTATTCATGTTGAACTCACAAATCATTTGAAATCAATGATTCAGATTTTGCCAACATATTTTGGCACTCCACTTTTATATACCAACTTTGTAGGAGTAGAATTATTCATATTGAGCTCACATCACAAAGTGCAGTGTCCCTACAGAACCTAAAATTTGCATTGCTAGCCCATGTCACAAAATTAAGCTCGTGTAAAATGTTAATATGGATACAGTACAGTATTCTATCAACAGTTGAAGAAGGCACTCCAAGGTTGACGTATGACTATGTCACACTAAGTGCAATTTATGAACTTTTACGTTTTTCTCTCTTTTGACCCTTTAGCTGAAGAGACATTAAGATGGTGTTTGGTGGAGATTTTGAAATTAATTTTTTGACTGATAGAGGTAAAAGTGGATCCTACCTATGAAAGAAGAATTAAAAAATGACAGTTATAATAGTAAAATAACATTAAAAAAAATTGATTTTAATTGCTTAAAATCATTACCAAACAACCTCTAAGTACTTGTTCGAACCTCATTTTTACCAAAACTCATTTTCAATTACATTCTCCCATAAAATAATTTTAAAGGTAAACTCAATTTTTTCTTATTTTTTAACCACAATTCTCCAAAAATTACTATTTTAAAACTCTTTTTTTTTTTTTCCTATAAAATGAGGCTCAAACTGGGACTAATCCCTTACAAAGTCTGTGCTATATTTATTTTAATATAACATGACAACATAGTGATTTAACTTCCAAAAAAAAAAAAAAAGAAGAAGAAGAAGAAGCCCAGCACGGATTCCTAAAATTCTTCCAAATGTACGGCCGCCCAAATTTAGGTACTTCAAGACTTGATAGCAACCTTTGTAAAGTAGAAAAAGGTAACGGTAGATTCTGGGTGTCTGCCACGTGTCCTTGACAAAGATTTACCTCTACGGCTGGCGCTGATCTTTGATAGATGGGGGTCCTATCAGTGGGTGACCGTTGCGACGGCTGTGGCATTGGTGGTTCCGATGACGGATGCCGCGGTTAAGGTTGGTGGTGCGGTTATGGTTGATACGAGATTAATGTCATCGTCATGGAGGAAGCACTCAACAATCCCGGCACTTGGCCCGGCCACCACTCTTTCCCAAGCTTCATCAGCTTCCACCCCACGTTTGAGGAATGCTTCCGTCGCGTCCAGGCGGTGCATATTCCACTTTAGTTGGTTCTGGAGCCTAAGAATGTTTTGGTGCTGACGACAAGCCAATTTGCACGTGTTATCTTTGATTTTATCGATTGCTGCCTTAAGAAGTTTAGCCCTCGTTTCATAATCAACAATTGACTTATTCCTGAAAAATTCATCCATTTCTGGCACACCAATGGCCCTTTTAATTCCCCGCGTATAATTTGCCTCGAGGTCGAAAAATTCCCTGGCTTCATCGACCAAACCTGCGTCAACCATTTGATCAACGCGTTTTGAGACAAATGAATGCAGGATTGCCATTGATACATCCACCCAAAGGACGAAAAATTCATATTTTGATTGAAACTCAAGATCGTCATTCACCAATGCCTTGATGTACGAATTTGAGCCACCGGCTATGATTGGTAGCCGGCCTTTTCTCATAATGGATTCCACTGCAAGTGATGCATGATGTACAAAATCATCAGAAGTGAAGTCCACATCAGGATCAATTATGCCTAATAAATGGTGGGGAATTCCGCGGCACTCTTCTTCTGTCACTTTGTTTGTTACTATGTTAAGTCCTTTATAGACTTGCATTTTATCAGAGTTCACAATCTCTGCATTAAAGCGGGTGGCTAAATCAATCGAAAGTCTTGATTTACCCGTCCCCGTTGGGCCAACTACTATAACAACCTTGTTCTTTTGGCGCCGCGGAATATATTGATCCATGTGAAGTCCCCTTGGAAAAGTTAGAAGGCACTGTGCTTGCTGGCAGGCAGGTAGTGAAATCGCCATAGTAAACCTGCTTTGTTACACCAAAAGTTCAATATACACTTCAGAATGATGAAGACGAATGAAAACAATATAATTTTTTCTCATATATGCGGATACACAAGAAAAATAATAAGCTATGGAGGACCACTATACCTTTATATAACAGAAGATGTGGCAAACTGCAGAAGAAAATCTGAAAATCAGTGAAATTACTTTTCCTGTTTTTGCTTCCTGAAAAAGTTCTGATGAAGAAGAAATAGTAGGATAGTTGGAGTGGTATATAATCGATAAAAAGAAGAGAAAAGTGTATTTTCTGTATATTTATATTCTGTGTTATTATGAGCACCTCAATGATACATACAGACACAATAAAAGATATTGAAGAGAAAAAGTATAAGGAGAAAATGAAAGTTTTGTGAGCTTAAGAAAGACGAATGAGTATAGATAGTTATATGTCTTAAGCTGCTTCTTTGAATCTGCACAATTCGTAGAAGTGAACTGGTATTTATGGAGAAAAAAAGTGCGAGCCATGCATACTTATAGGAGGAAATTGCTTCCAATGTCAATTTTTTAATTTTCAACTACAAAAATGTCCCCCTTTTCATAATTGGGTAATTATATTACCACTACAAAAATTGTTAGTTACACCATCAATTTTTTATTTACTTAAAGTGGGTTTTTTAATATATTTATCATGTAAAATAATTTATTCTTCCACCACAACCATAAAACCTTTAAAAATTTATCTTCTTCCACAATCCCTCCTCCAACCCCCACCCTCAAAACTTCATCTTTCAATTAAGTTTGGCCATTAAAGAAATTAAATCTCTCTGATCGAAATTAAATTGATTCCATCAAAGAATAACGATTAAAAATTTACGTTTCAATGATGAAATTGATAGAATTTATTCTCATTCACAACCCTGGCAACATAGATTTTTGAACAAAACATAAAAGTCTATTTAAAATATCATGTCAAAATTTTTTTCAATAAAGATACATACATAAAAATAGAGCTTTTAGTACCGCATGAATTATCTTAAATCATATCAATTTACCTTCATGAAAATAGAAAGACACTCCAACAAAAAAAAAAAGAAAGAAGGAAACATATGAAGAATTTGGAAAAACTCCCAGTAATTTTCATAATTTAGCACCCTTAAACTGCCATCTAGGTAAGTGGTAAGAGATATAGAGAGAACATGCGATTGGGGGATGTTGAAGTGGATAACCAAGAGAATGGGAGCATTGATTCACATGAGAGGAGATTTTCAAGGGCTTTAGATTTTGTGTAGCCAGGAGGATGAGTGATTTGTGTAATGACTTTAGATTTTCAATACTTTATTAAATCATTTTTCAGTATCAAAAGATTTTATGGGAATTTTATTTTTATGTGGGCAAGTTTTGTTTTTATTCTGGAGTTTAATTGAGACTATGGCATTCCACATCATTATGTTTTGAAATGTTATTTTGATTTATTCAAATACACACACACACACATGTGATAAGTTTTTTATTTTTTATTTATTTTTATTGAATTAGGAGTATAATTATAAATTTATTGTGGTTTATTTATTAAAAATATATATTAGTTATGGTGTGATTATAATGTGGTGTAGTAATTAAAATTTGAAGTGGTAATATAATTACCCTTAATAATTTTGCCAAATTTTCACTTTTGGACTTTTTTGTCCTTCTAAAAATTTAAAATACCTTGAATCCAAAATTTTATGGATGTAATTATTGGTGATAATGATTTTGATCTAGATGCCTTTTTATTATTTTGGAAAGTTAAAAGACTAAAGGGAAATAAGTATTAAATACAATTTTACTTATGGCGTGTAAGTATATTTCACTCGGAAACCAACAATTGAACATAATTCAACATAATTCAAATTTTGTAAGGCCATTCATATTAAAACAACTTGAGGTACAAGGCTTCTCTACTCCAATTGAATCAAAACTCAATTGTGAATATTGATTACAACTATAAATATTACATGTAGTCTAATTATATATATAGACACGCGCGGCAGAAAGAAGTTTTTAAAGTCTCTAGCTAAGTTAGAAAAAGATTTGGACGTGCAATTATATAATTTTGCTTCAAAAATTCTTCTCATCAAATAAAGTAAGATACTTACACGTTCAAGCGATTTGTTTCTTTATGCTTTTAAATATTCAATCAAATATGCATAAATTGCCGGTGGACATTTGGATTATTTATAAAGAGATGAGATCCTTCAAGAATTTAAGACAATCTAAAATGGATTTCTCCGTTGGTTACTGATATACTCCACAAGATAATAATGGTATAAAGTGTAAATTTTATTGTTATATTATTGTATATGTAAATAGCACATCTCTTAATGGGTATTTCTAAATACATAATTTGATTAGTTTAGATCGATGGGATTTATGGCAGGATGGTGATACGAGCTATCAAGTGGATCGAAGAAAAATAAACATTAACTTTTTTTCGTTTTTCAATTTATTAATTAGTTCAATTCGTTCAAAAACATGCTAGCTGATTGTGTTATTTTAAAATATACTAATTTTATGTTTAATTTAATTTCATGGATATTAAAGTTATTTTATTTTATAGAAATAAACTTTTATTATTTTGCATTTAACATAAAGAAAAGTAAGTCTTTGGTAATGCTCTAGAGTTTATAAAAATTTGGTTTGTTACGATTTGATTAGTTGAAAAAGTTATAGAAAAAATTTGAAAACGTCACACCAAATCCCCAAATCCATCCCACCCTCACTTACTAAACCCCTACATATCCCCATTGCCGGAGATTTTCCTTTCTTCTTCCACACATCGTCCTACTCCATTTCTTAAAAATAAACCCTAAACCACGCCACTCTCTCACGTTGGTAAAACACCCTACCTTGCAGAAATTGTTCCTCATTTACATGATCGGTAATCCACGCCCATTAGGAGTAATTTCCACTTTTTTCTTCGGAGGTTGGATTTTCATTCCATTGTATAAGTCAAAATTGACAGAGAACAAGATGCTTGCACCCTAAAAGCAACTTCAGCAAGAAATTTGCTCAATTTTCTCCTTATTTCTAACATAAGGTATGATCATCTCCCATTGTTCCATTAACTAAGGTTTAAGGCTTTGTGATTTTTTTAATATTATTCAAAATGGTTGGATTTTTTTTTTTTGCCAAAAATGTATAATTATTTTAGGAAGTGTATTTTTTACCTTTAATAGATGGTGAGTTTGTCTCAAAATTAGAATATACATGTTATTTGCGGTTTATTTTCTCATGCGTTGAGTTCTTGTAAGGGATTTCACTGGAAATTTATGAGGGTGTGCTTGGTATATAGGCTGAATTTGTGGTTTATTAGAATATTTTGTCAGTTGTAGTTTATTAAAATATACATATTCATTGTAGTTTTAGCAATGTATATTGAATTTGTGGATTGACATGTTATTTTAATTTGTTGCAGTATGATTCAATTTGTTGATTCATAGCTTAAATAATGTGGTTCGTTCAATGATTCATTCTTTGGTAATGTGGTTCATTCTATGGCTAATTCAATTTGTTGCAATATGGTTCATTCCATGTTCATTGTACATTGAAATATCTTATTCATGTTTTTATCTGAAGATTTTCTTTAAAATATAGATAGATCATCTATCGAGAACATCTATCATTCTTGATAGATATTTACTGAATTTCTCGACAGCTACAATAAAATGAAAATGTGTTTGAGTTGCTTCAATATGTTTCGTACGAATTCATTACATGTTAAATCATCCTCTAACATTGGAATTTCTTCATGTTAATGAAGTAGTAGATGGAATTCGAACTCCCCACACTGGAAGTGGCTGAAAAGAGGAAAGAATTTTATTCAATAGGACTTCATTGACTCGAGCAACTATGTGTTGCTTTTGGACTTATAATTTATCATATTATTTTGAAATTATATCATGTCTATATTGAACAAAATATTTTAATTTTTTAATTCATATTCATGGGTGAAAAGACATTTTTACTGTGTAGCAAGACGAACTGTCGTGGTATCATTTGTAAATAAGTTAGATTGATCAACATACTACAAGTAATGCCTTACTGAAATATGATATCGATTAACGAAAATGAATTACTAAAACGTGTCAATAAAATGGTCACACCAAATGAATGTATGATTAATGATATTGACAAAAAAGGTTGATAAATGGAACATAAGAAATGCAAATAACTGTGTACTACAATAAAGTAAAACAAATTTGAGGTTTAGTCTTCCATCATGACTTTTGAACTTCTAACATATTTCTCCACTTCACCTGAAAGAACAATTTACATACAACACTTTACACACACTCATAAGCTGACTATACAACTTTTGAAATTCGTGAAATAAATATTTATTCCTGTATTAACTTGCTTAAATTTTGTTATTGATTTATTTACTCTAGGAAACATTGAACTACATATATCATGCTGGGTTTATTTTGTTTAGAAAACGGTAATACCTTAATTTTTTTTTAAAAAAAAAGAAAGAAAAAAAGAAAAGTGAAAGATACCATGCCAAAAAAATAATAATAATAATAAAATTAAAATCAAACAAAAAAGGGTAGGCGATGGATTGATTTATACTTGGTACAAATCTAAATCCATTTTCCATACATAAACATACACAACACATAGAGGAGAGAAACGAGAGCATGGAGAAAAGAAACTAAAGAGAGAGAGAGAGAGAGAGAGAGAGAGAGAGAGAGAGAGAGAGAGAGAGAGAGAGAAATTCGTCAAATTGTTAGAAAATAAGTGATTTATACTAGTAAGCTTGAATTCCCAAGTTTCGAAAAGTAAGTAAAAAGTTACTTATTGAAAAGTTATGTTAAATTTTAGGGTTGCTGAACTATTAGTTTAAATTCAATTTTATTGAAAGGAAATTATTGAATTAAGTATAATAAGCTATGTAATTGAGTTAAATGAAGAAAAAGTTAGCTCAAGCAATTAAAGGAATTCTAGAAATCGCTTAAATATGAAAATATTAAGTTTTGGTATCGTCTATATAATTATCAGAATTTCTTAAAATGGATAGTTGTTAATCTAAATATTATATCTTATTTCAGGCGGCGATACGGATATCGAAGCAATCTACCAACCGAGTTGATTTTGCGTACATAGTTCTGTAAGTGGAAAAAACTTATATATTTTTAAATATTAATAAACTAATTATACTATTACATTATGTTCAATTATGTGTCCGATTATATGATTATTAGGGAAATTCTTCTACTATGACACTTGCTGATATCCAAAGATTGTATATGGTATATTTGTGACTTTGGTATGTGAGACATATACAATATTAAGATCGATCAAAAAAGTATTCATGATTATTTACTTCTTCTAGTTCATTGAGGACCTTGGCCACGTTCTATCTATACTAATGGGTCTTGGTCGTGTACATATTGTTCACCCAGGGGCCATGGTAGTGTTCTATAATTGATTATGAGAGGTTTTTGAGACCCGCTTTAGTTCATTGAGGGG